GCCCCCCCCCCCCCCGAAGCAGTTTAGTCACAACATCCTGCTTTTGGAAACTAAGCGAACTGCTAATGCTAGTTAGCACAGTCATCTAGGAGGTATATGCAGTTAGCTGAAACACAAACTGTTAGTTGTTTCAGTCACTGCATATACCTCCTAGATGATGGAATGCGGGCAACAGTATGTTGGTTTGCAAGGCAGTCTCTACATTAGAGGTTCTGGCTTGCATAGAATAATATCAATATGCTTGGAGTAAACCTGGGTTTTGTTGCATTTGTGGTATTTTGGTCAAAATGTATCCAAACTGCCTAGTACTCTCCTCACCATTAGCAGGGAATGTTTCACAACTAATACTGGTAACTTAATTTACATTTTAGCTATCTTACTAAAAAGTGTGGTGTGAGAGTTTTGCTTGACCAAAGCCATCATGGGCAGCAGAGATCAGTATCTATGGGCCCAACTGGTGTTTATTATGACATATGAAAGATTGTGTTTTGAAATGTGAGAGGAGAGAGTAAATGTGAGAGGAGAGAGTAAAAGCAAGATTTAATTATGAAGGAAAGAGCTACAATATTTATTGGAAATTGGTGTAATCTAGATTGTTGTGGATGAATATAGAAATTCATAAGTTGGTGAGAATTGCATATTACGTTCCAGTGAATGGTGATAATGGAAGAACCAGAGATGAGTTTTGAGAAAAATTTGTGCAATATTCTGAAGAAATGCAATCTGGGGGAGGGGGGGAATACTGTTAGAAGACATCAGTGAATGGAAACAAGACAAGAGAATTCAGAAAAAATAAGTAGGCCACGTGGAGGCCCAAAAATAAATGAGAAGGGTAACTGGTGTGCACCAAGTATATTAATGTAGACAGATGAAACTATTGTTCATTTGATTTTTTAAAATGAAAAATTGACAATTACTGAAAGATACAAGAGTGATGAAAAGTTCAAAATGTGGAGGTCATATCATTATTGATAGTCTCAAAAGTGGATCTTAAAATAAAAATAGACATGGAAGAAAAAGAAAGAAGTGAAAGACGCAGAATGACCACAGGAAGACAAAGTATGCGCCCTGTATGAAAAAAAGAAAAGAAAAAATAAATCTCCCAATAATCTAAACAAAGAGTGGACATGAGGAAAGAGAATGTAGAAGTTAACCTCAAACAGTGAGAAAAAAAATATTTTACAGAATGTCACAGAGGTTTGTGGAGTTACATTAATGGAAAGTACTAAAAAGAATGCTTGGTGAATGTTGAAGTCAAAAGGGCTGTGGATAAGAAATATGCAGGCAAGAGAATGATGATGATGAAAATATATAATGTACATAGAGAGAAAACATGTACATTATATATTTTGGAACTTAGCTTAATGGTTGGGTTCACAGAACAGGCTCAGTCTGGATATCTAGATGGACTGATTATCAGGATTTGCACAATATATTATAAACTAACCAAATGGCCTGCCTTCAAATAACATGATAGCCAAACTTAAAACTAATCAAGATCAGCATGTTACTTGGGGGCAGCATGTTATGTGAAAGTCAGCTTGATTCATAACAGACCTTGTTAAGCATGTGGTCTGGACATTTAACTAAATTACAATATTTATAATTTTTTAAAATAATTCTGTCTTTGAAGAGATAGTAACAAAATCCTGAGAGACAAATTGCAGACTGAATACAGAATATGGAGTAGACAGGCATTCTTTCTTCCTAATTTTACCGAGATTGACTAAACTAATAACGTAAGGATTACTACATTAACAAAATCCCCAATGTGACAATGGCATGCTAACAGCTCCTGTTGAATAAGGACCATGTAAGAGTCCATATATATTTTATCTCGTGCATTCTAATTCTTTTTCCAATTGAATAAAATGTGCATATCATATAAACACTCTCCTCCTGTACTTCAGGAGGCTCTTACTAGAATATCTTGCATATTTTAAGCCTTGGTCAAATCCAAGAGATCCTAAATTACAACTGAAGTTCAAAGAGAAATTGCAGCCAGATAACAAATGTCCAGATAATATGGTACATCCCAGCCCTATTGTTAAACAGGCTGTCCCTTAGACAGGTGTGCTTGTTGAGCAGAAATGGACATGGGGGAAATAAGATGAGTAATACATAGAATAGACAATTAAATACAGTTCATTTGCTCTTGGAAAATCATAGCCACCTCTGTGCCTTTACAGAAAAGCAAAAAAATGCACTCAATAAAATATAGAATTATGTGCAATGAATATACAGAAATCTTATTTTTGAAATATATACAAGGAAATCTTTTCTATTGCCAGTGTCCAAGGTATTGATAAATTAAATCACTGGACATGAATGAAAGACAAGATTCTATTAAAAAGCATTAAGATTTTTACCTTATATATTGATTTTAGCAAAGCATGCTAACCAACTACATTTAATTTTGAGAGAGACATCATCCAGGTTCTTTCCACATATACATCAAAATGTGCTACATAATAGCCATTTAGGTCATTTCTTCATCCAAAAATATAATTGCTTTATGAAAAAGCAATAAAATATAATTTTGCATAAAAACGATATTAGCAAGATTCAACCAAGAAAGTAGTGCATGTGTCACATTGCTTCTCCCAACAAATCCCAAAGAGGTGAGAAAAGAAAATATATAATGTACATAAGAAAGCATGGATACATATGTTATCAGCCTGATCATACCCCTGCAGGATGCTTTTCTAGCTTTAAAAGATGTGCTTAACATTCATGCGAAATTTTAGGGAATTTCAGTTCTATAAAGGGTTATGAAAATGAGACAGTGGGAAGCTATGAGAAGTCATGATAAGAGATGGTATATTTATCACAGCATTAGGCATTGAGAATGTGAGCTTGGATAACTTCCCAAGGTCATTACAAAATTTCCTTTCAACCTGTCTATACAACCACAACCTGCAAAGATAAAACATTTCCAGTTCATCATTTGCTTTACAGTTAGAGTTCATTTTCCATAAATAATACACTTTATCCATTATTTAAAATATGAACAAAAATCCTATGCTTTAAAAATCTGCCCTTGAGAAATGACAAATAATACATATTTTAAAATAACAATGTACAAGTTGACATTGTTTTTAAGGCATGAAAAATGGCATATGAATGGGAAGAGCTTCTAGAAAAGCATTATGTATTTTTGATATAGTTAGTCCAAGCACAACACATAAAAAAAAACAACAACCAGAGACACTAGAAATGAACAAGTACTCTAATGTGAATCAAGATTCAATAACTACATGTGTAGACATTCTAGAAGTTAGTTGTAACAATATTTGTTTTATTTTTGAACTCTTCATATCTATTTAAAGCACCAGATACTCCACAAAGCATCTTTGGCCAAATCAGTACATGCTTCTCTTATGCTGCACTTCCCGCATCTGAATAAATAAAGGGTCTGGGCATTTTCCTCCCCTCTTTTCAATTTATGGATCACAGAAATGTTCAGAATCTGGGCTAATGCACTTTTGGAAGTCCATTATAAATTGAACATAAAAGCAAAGGAAGGTTTCCTGCAGACCCACAAATCACCATCAGCTATAAGAAACATGTTGTGCATAGTGGTTTTTTCTCTTTTTAAAGAGTTATATGTTACTAGATCTACATTCTCAGTTTACCAGAGTTTGAATGTTTCTACTTTACTAAAGCCAAGATCCTTTCGGAGTTCCCAGTAGGTGTCATTAGAAACCCATGTTTCTCTTTGATTAGCTTCAGTAACTTTTCTGCAAAATTAAAAAAAAAAAGTTATTGGTTAAAATAAATTCAGAAATATCCTTTAAAAGAATAGAAATATACTTCAATCTAATTTATTTGTCGAGGAACCCTTTTGAAAAATGAAATTGCAATCAAATAATTATTTGGCAGAGAAGAAGGAGAAAAGAGACTGAATTCTACTCTTAGATACTTGGCAGCTTTTTGTTTTTCTAAGTTCACATGGTTACATAAATGAGAGGAACTGCATGTATGCTTATTCACTTGGACAATTTTCTTCATCTCGCTAGGGGAAAATTTATGAAAGATAGTTCCTGCACGCACAAAACACCAACTTCGGGATCAAGGATTAATGTTAGACCACTGTAGTTCAAGAATTATCCAATAACTATTTATTGTAAATAAAATTAATTGCTCAGTATTTAAGTCCATTTCAAAATTCATCATCTTTGGTTCAAAATTATCTGAGGAATAAGACCCTAGCCTACAATCAACTTCCTCCCCTAGGTTTTAACTCCTTTTTTGAAATAATCCGATTGTATAATAAGAAGAAACACACATATTTTGTATAATTCAAGGCAATTTTTAATGCTGAAAACATTTATAGTATTTTTGTTAATATTGTTATGCCATTATATGTACCAATCCCACATTCCAGTAAAAACAAAATGTATCTTTTCTCATATCTTTTGATTATTATATTTTTATTTTAGTGATACATTCTGTTTGTGCAAGAATGAGGCGGGGAGAGAGAAAGAGAAAGAGAGAGAGAAAGAAAGAAAGAGAGATTTACTTACTTAAAAAATTTTGGTACATGCTCCATATTGTTTTCCTCTAAATAACGTCTCTGGCATCTCTGGAGTTCTTCAATCCTTTGTTTTTCTGCTGCTGCTGCTTCTAAATGTCCTTCCTCCAAATGCCTGTAGTTAAGCAATTGGATCTTTTAGTAAATACGTACCAACCTCCAAGAAACAGAACAACACCACCCAGAAATCCTAAACTTCAGTAAGCACCAAAATCACACATTGCATATAATGCAGGTTAGGTGAAATTAATAGCGCTCTCATCCCAGGAAATAAATCTTTTTCAGCTGATTCCCTGATTAAATTGGCATAAATACATATGATTAAACTCCATTATTTTGGACAAACCATGTGCCTTCTTTGTTTCTGCAATATGCAGATGCGTTTTAGTGCAGACGGCATCTTACAAAAAGTATTTGTGAGGGGGGAAGGGGAAGAAAATGAGAAAGGGAAAAATCTGTTTTAAGGTGATCCCTGTCTGCTGCAGTTTTTAGGTTCTCATATTAAAATATTTGAAATGCTTCTCAAATAGTCTGGAGTCAGCGTTCATTGATCAACAGTGATTCATGTATCAATTACTTGATAAGACATTCCAGTTTTAACATTAATACTCCTTACAATATCTACTCAAAAGCAGCCGCAGAGATAAGAAAAGAATGTACTTCTTGCCTTTGATCTGGCCTGAATCGTGCATCTGTTTTTGGAAGAAGGTCTTTCAGTGCAGGATCTAACTCATTTAGCTCAATGGCAAACCTTGTAAAACCATAGTAACGCTCATAATTGGTTGGCATGGAGCCTGTATTAAAAATTAAAATAAAGGTAGTAATTAACCATTGTGAATAAATACTAAGTCTACATGAAGAAGAAAATATTTGTACCTTGCTCTTCATTAAACACCTTGCATGCACTGCAGAAAGATGACCAGCATTGCCAGCTCTCAAAACTCTTTAAGCACTGGTTTTGTGTGAAGACCTGCTCTACCCATTAGTGAGATAATATGGGAAACAATGCACTGCTCATACTGTTGCCAAAATATGCACTGCCTGGCTAGGGCCCCCACTTGCTCTCCCAAACTTGGTCCCTCAAAATCCCTCTCACCCAAAAAGGCAGGAAGTGATCTGACACAATCATTCCATGCCTCTCTGTGCATGGAGAACAAAATTACTTCAGGAGGAAAGGTCATCCTGAAAGATTCCACAGAAAGGCTCCAAAAGGGGATGCTTAGGGCTTAAATGGCAGTAATCTTACTGCCAGTACGGAATGTTGGGCTTTCCATATACTGAACGTGTGATCTTTCACTGAGGCATAGCTCCCGCGTTCACATTATGTTTTATTTTACTTGTATTTTTATATCACTGAATCAGGCCAAAACATGGCAGTTTACAAGTGGATAAAACCAGAACACAACAACTTTACAAAGCAAGGACACTTTAAAGGCCTTATGAAAATATTCAGCTTTGACAGCTTTCTGAAATGATGCCAAGGTGGATGTCAGCCAGGCCATCTTGTGAAAAGCACTGTTTTGAGTCCCCGCCCTCTCACTTCCCATACATGGGGAACCCTCGGCCTCCTGGCATGGACTGAGCATACAGGATGGGCCAGTTTTACAGGGAGAGGCAAACCTTTTATATGGCCTGCTATTGTTGTGAGCAAGCATTTATGCATTTGAGCCATAATAATTTCTTTTAAGTAAAGTGCCCTTCGAGCCAGCTTGACTTCTGGTGAATTCATGGAATCCATATAATTTTGCTGGAAGTGGTTTGCTACTGTCTTCTTTGGGGCATGTTTTCAATTCCATAGTCTACTCTGCAGCCTGTATATTCTCTGGAGTCTCCCACTGAAGTATTAACCAGGTTCAGCCCTGTTTAACCTCCCAGTCAAGACAAGGACAGCCAGATAGTGCCATCTCTCATAATACAAAGAATACTGATTCGTGAAGCACACAGCATTCATTCTAATGTTTTAAGGATTAATATGCACACTGGAAGAATTGTGTTTTTTGTTTTTTGTTTAAATTAGGTGACTTAATTATTGCTGCAACAGAATACTTGATGGGAGTGAGTAAAAGAGCAACTACATATACCCCAAACGGTATTTTTTAAAACAGAAAATAAGGAATGTTTAGTAATATTTCTGTTTATCCCACATTCCTCCTGAAAGTTCAAGCTACTTACAAATTTTCCCCACTCATCCATTTTATCCTCACAAAACCAAGTAAGCTAGACTAAGAGAAATAACCTCCCCAAGTCTCCATAATGTAGGCATCCAGTATCTTATCCAGGCTTCAAAGTTCAATGATCTTTATTCTGGAAATAGAAAGGCTACAAAACTGCCAGCACCATCCCATCCCAATCAAGAGCTGGATGCCTATACAGGTAGTCCTCCTTTAGTGACTGCAATTGGTTCTGGAGACATGGTCACTAAGCGAACCATATGATAGAGAGAGGGAGGGAGGGAGACTCTGAAGATTGCTGGTTGCTGCTGTCTCATTCAGATAAAGTTCTCTCATACAGGGTCCTGGGCCTGACCTGGTTTTTTTCTTTTTTTGTCTCCTTGCAGGGTGGAGAGATTGCTTAAACAAGTTAGCTCTTCCTGAGCTGGTTTTCTCCTAAGTGCACCTTCCCTAAAAAGTGCTAACTGTAAGTTAACAAGCTTAGCTCTGTGATCTTAATTATTTGATTAGAACCCTCCCACAGACTGGCAGCTCCTGTCTGACACTGATCAGACCTTAATCAGTTTCACACTGAAGGCTTGTGCTGTCATAAATGCCGCATTGGTCAAAAAATGATTTTTTTATTACCGTTTATTACCATCATATTTGCGAATGGTCATTATCCAAGGCAGTTGCTAAATAAGGACTACCTGTATTGTGGTCTACCTTGAAACGTTATCCCAGATTTAAAAAGATAAAGACAATTCAAATTCTCACCCAATTCTCATAAAAGAACCATCCATTTTTGTTAAATCACAAAACCAGTGTTTGAATTATAGGAGAACGAGGAATGTTGCTTACTGCCCCATAGCTAATATTTTTGGAAAGTTAGAAAAACACAAGATTTAGTTCAGAGGGTACAACTCGTATACTTAATCAAAGGATCCTATTTTTTTCTCCATCAATAGAGGTACTGCATGAAACCCACTACATTATTTCTACCTCCTCTTCCAATGTTCTTTAATATTCAGTTCTGCAAAATTCATCCTCCAAGTTTTGGAAAAAGCTGACTGTTAGTAATCTTGTGCTAACCAGTAAGTCCAATCTGACTCAATAAGTGATTGTTTTCTTTTTCAAATGAGCTACTGTTTCTTTTCCTGTTCCACTTGAAGAATATAAAAAATGGGGTATAATACTGAAAAATGCACATTCATTTCAATGACAATAGTGGCATTAAACAGTTGCTACCATCCTCAAAATATTACATCTCTCTTCATCCAACATATGTCATTTAACAACTTGCAGCATTTTGCATGATACCTGCTTGACCTTAGATCATATTATAGAATGCACAGCTTTCTAAATAAACTGAATTTGTATATTATTTATATTTCATCATGGAAAGATACAGTTAGAAAAGGTCAGCAGTGACTTACAGTAAGACTTTCTAAGCAACAAGTAATGTTCCAAACTATCATATCTAATATACTAAGGATGAAATCCCTGCATCTGTAATACAAATTCTACTTCTTTATTACTTGCTTAGTTATATATACAATTACATATATGTCATGTTTTACCTGGTCTCCATATACATTTTGCTGAAGGTCCAACTCCACAGTATAATCCTTCATGCCATTTTCCAAAAAGGCGATGCACCACTTTTCCTTCTTGGTCCATGATAATGCCTTGAACCTCATTTACATTAGAATTCCAGTAATTCACCTAAAAATGTAACCAAATTGTACAATTTTGCTAAATGTAAAATAAATCATCCAGCATCAAGAGGAGGCCCTCTGTGCCACCAATCAACTGCAAGAAGGGGGGAACCCCGATTCCTTACCAATAGTGCTCAATAACTGCTCTGGCTCTTCACATGCAATCCCATGAGAATAAATGTAATGTAATCCTGTTTATAACCTAACACACTATATATATGAGTACTCTGAGTAATGGCGGACTTCTGATTTAAAAGGGGATTGGAATATTAAGGTTTGCTTCTACAAGCTGCTCAAATTCTGTAGATCATAAAAAGGTGCTATTGTTGGGAAAATGGAAAAGGGAGTAAAAGCAAGGTTATTTTATACACTACTCAAAAGTACAATGGTGCCTCTAGTTACGAACGCCCCTCCTTACAAATTTTTCGAGATACGACCAACTCCGGCCCCAAAAATTTACCTCGACATGCGAACTCCGCCTCTACTTACGAACCGGATCCGCGGCCATTTTCCCTGCTGCCACGCGGTCGCGGCTTCCTGTGGGTGAGATCACGGTAGCAAGGAAATGTTCGGTGAGGCTTGTGGTGTGTTTTGTGGCATTTGGAAGGTTTTTGAG